AGAGAGAGAGAGAGAGAGAGAGAGAAGAGAGAGAGAGAGAGAGAGAGAGGGCATTAAATGTAGAGAGTTGCATAATGGGCATATAATTGTACCTATACTCTGCCTCCTCTACGCCTCTGCCACTGGTCACGTAGGACAACATGCCCTAAACCCTACCATTTCCTATCCCTTTCAAAGGCTTCCCTTTTCATTTCTTACCTCCAGATTTTTTAGGGTTTGTTTGGTTTAAAATAGACAATTATCGTATTATTGTAGAGAGCCGTAATTTCTAATTATTAAAGTCTTTTGCACTCGAACGTATCTGAGAAAGTGAAAGGGATGGGATGGAAGGTGAGAGGTGTTGGGGATAATATTATATGAGTAATCATTATTCCAACCATTGATTCTCCCTTTTTTTTTTGGACATAAACGCTTCATTCATTACCTTCCTTGGCCTCTTCCTCTGCAACCCATTATTTTCTTCTTCTATTCCAATTTTAACATTTTACCAGTAAACTTCCATATTTCCTTCCCTATTTATCCCTTTTTTTAAATAATTTTACAGATATTTTAGAAAAAGGATATTAAGTTTAAATTGTTCTATAATCCTTAGTTGGGTTTTCTTAGTTATTTTATATATATATATATATATATATATATCATAATTATTGAACGAAAATGATAGGATTATTGGAATCTTTTGAACAAAGAAGGTAAGAATAATTGGGAGGAAGAAACCTTACAATTGGCTCTTTCTTGGCTCCATTGATCTAATTTTGGAGGCAGCATTTTGGGCCCTGAAGAATGATACAACAAGTAAGGTGTGTTAGTACCAAAAATAATTACAATTTCACCATAAAAACAACTGCCATCAAATTATTTTCAGGACCTATTGTGGCAAAGGTCCATCTTTTTTTTTTCCTTAAATAGTAACAACAACAATAATAATAGTAATATGCAACTGTAGAGCTCTCACAGCCCTCTAGGCTCTAAGTGGGAGAGAAGGGGAGGTTGGAGAAATAGAGGTAATAATAACAACAATAATAATAATCATGCATTTACTTCTTCTTCCAGACTATGAAAAGCTATAATTTTTGTATGAAGCTCATGGTTCCAAATTTGTGCCTACATTTCATCGTATAGGAGGTCACATCAAGTTGAAAAAAAGTTAAATTTAAGGAGTGTTCGACTTGTGCAACCGAAGTGAATACTCGTGTTGTCCATAGTGACGAAACAAAGTTATATGAAAAGAGCCTAATCCCAAAAATAATATTCATTAAACCACCTATGATCTTTGCAATGCAAGCTTAGAGTCTAACATCAATTTACACCCCTTACTGTCCCATTCACATACAGCTTGTCCAATACATGTTATATCCCCTGGTCAGCCTAGATATGAGCATGTCCAATTTTCATTACATAGAATACTTGAAATTCAATCACAAAGATTCAATCATTCAAACCTTGGCATGAAAATGACATTCGAGTAGCAGCCGACAGTCTGGTTTGTCCTATCAACAGATTATCTTCAATCTAAACATAACTCAATAAATCCAAGTTCCTGACCGCGAAAACGTCTACCCTAAAAGCAAACTTCTTTCAAAACTACTAACATAGAAGATTAGTTAAAAGATAAAACCTTGTAGTATCCCATAATACAAAACTGCAGCTCAAGCAAAAATTTTGAAGTAGAATGAAATTAATAATAGTACGATATTAGAGGGCAAATAGTAGACCAAAGCTTTTGAATCTCTAGATCATATAAGAAAGAAATAATAAAGAATGTTTTTCCCCCCGGGGGGAAGGGGAAGATTTCTACTCTTCCTAGTACAAAAACACTCCCAAAAGAAACAAAAAAAAAAAAAAACAACTTAATAAATCAACATTCCCTTACAATTCTTAACCCTTCTTTTGCAAGTCCCAAAAGAACCCACCATCCTACATAATATCAGAACTCCCATCATAACCTTATAACGAAAAAGCCTAGTAAATAGCACACATTAACAGCTAAAGCAATATATGTAGAAGCAAGCCCCTCCCCAATCACTAGTAATCCTTAAACTGCCTGACATTTCCATGTCATTACATTACCTTCTCTTCCAAATATTACATAAACACACCATATAAATTTTAGCAAGAACCTGCACGTAAGAGTGCGAGTGCCCCGATTGCAGTTGGAGGCATTGGCTGCAGGCAACACCTTGGAATGGGACTGCTGATTACTCCCCGGACACTAGAAAACGATTTCCAAAAGCATTTCCATTTACCCCCTAGTTTTCGCTCTCTTCATTCCGAGGCTATTGTGGAAGGGAGACACAGAACTAGACATAGGAGAACCCTCCTCACGAAGTGTGCCATTGAGCAAAGCTAGCTCTCGTAGCTGTTGCTTCTTGTAGAAGTCGTGAGATTCATCCTAGATAAATAATTTTAATAGGAAGAGAATAAAAAAAAAGAAAAAAAAAAAAGAAATGATATCGGTAAAAAGAAATGAGACACCATACTCAAAAACGAGATATAAAAGATCTCATAAGATACTCACTATTGGTTTGAGCAAGTCCTCGAGAATCTCGTGGGCCTGCATAAGGCGAGCATCAATAATTTCAACTGGCAATTCTGCCTCAACTAGAATGTGGAGAGGCTCATTCAAATGCTCGTAACCTGGTTTTCCTCTCAGCATTTCTTCCTACGGGACATAAACAATGGAATAAACTTGGTACCTTCATCAGATACTGAATTTTGATTCTGATATTTTAACATTACAGAATAAATGTAGACTCCCAGGCATAAGGGTGAAAAAAGAATCGTATAAGCTGCTTAAAAATTTTAGAAAGAAAAAAAAAAAGCATCAATACATACTATATATATACAATTTATGCCTGAAGAAGATTAAACAAAGATATTTCATATCCCTTGAAGACAAGAACTGACGTGACTGTGCTACATATAAGAATCCTTCTGAAGTTCTCTAAGTCAGCATGCAAGAATAGAGAGGGAGAGAGTGAAGCAAAGAGACAATGTTTTCCCCACTCAATCAAAATTTAAACTATTTTGTGGTTGATTCATAACAATTAGCATCAATTCATAAAGATAACTCACAGAATGGGAGGTTAAATATGGAAACCACCCATACCCACACCAATCACAAAGCTCCCAATAGTCATAAAAACGTGAATAATACAAAAAAGTATATGGATTTAGAATAACATTTTGAAAGAATTAAAAAACAATAAGCTCCTAGTAGATGCTAAGAATGAATAAGCAAGATCTAGAACCTTCGTCTCTCACTTCTCTTTAAAATTCCTTTCAAACCAAATTCTTAAACAAAATTTTGATAGCATTGACCCAAGCGAAATTTGACCGTCCGCCCAATTTAATACAAGAAAAAAATTGATTTTAGAACAAATGGGTTCAATAAGAGGCACACTGATCTAGAACAAACGGAGCAAAATAACTTGAGGAAGGTAAGTTAAAGAATATGTGCCCCATCTTTCCTCTCTAAATAACCTGAATATAACATTTGGGAAAGGTCACAAGATTACGTGGTGACTTCGGTCAATTGTTCCAACATAATGCGGGTATGAGCAAAATGAAAAATATCTCAAGCAGCAGTTGAGCTCCTACACATGACAATAAGTGACTAGGAGATCAAGCAACAGGTACTAGATTGAATTTCCCATTTTGTTCCAAGGGAAATTCTCAAACACACTACATGATACAGCAACCAGGTCATACTTCTTTTCTTCTAAGCTTACCAAATTCCCGAATTCCCAAGTTTTGAAGCGAAGAGTAATTGAACTTTGGTGGAAGCCTCCATCTCTATTTCTTTCCAAAAGATTTAAAAAAAAATTCAACGGTAATGGGTTTTAAATTACTAGAAAATGAAATAATAAACAGCCACCATCAAGTCCTAGTTGGCCAGATGGACAAGTAGGGTCTTCCCACTACTTTAGTCCTTAGTCATAACACCAATTGTTTGTCTTCATGAAACTAAATTGTAGAAAGGGTTAAAAAAATCTCTTAAAAAAGGGCATTCATCCATGAGGGGTAGAAGGAAATTTCTATCGAGTCTATATTGAGTGAGAGTTCAAAATACTTCTGTTTTGCTCTCTTTTTAAGATTCATTCCACTTTCAATAATAGGTTGGAGAAGATCATGGGGGAATTTCGATAGAAGGGGAGGGTGTGAATGAGGGAGGGTTATTCATATGATTAGTGGGAGGCATCTCAAAACTGATTGAATTAGGTGGGTTGGGTATAGGATATTGATCACATTATTGGGAGTTGCCAATTTGCCTAGTTGGTCTTCCATTATTCTTTTCCCAAACGTGTGGTGTATTTTGGGTTCAGTCCAGACATTGTTTTTCTATGGTTGAGGAGTTGCTCTTCACTCCCCCTTTCATGAGAAGGGATATTTTGTTGTGAATTGCAGGTGTTTATGCTATTCTTTGGGGCCTATAGCTTGAAGGGAACAATAGGGGAATTTGAAAGATTGTGGGAGGAAGTTTTGTCTCTTGTGAGGTTTCATGTTTTTCGTCGAGCATGGGTGCATAAGAATTTTGTGATCATCCTTTAAGTCTCCTTTTGTTAGATTAGAGCCCCTTTTTCAGTTGGGCTCCTTTCCTTCGACTGCTTTATTGGAAGTCCTTTGTATTTTTTCATTTTTCTCGATGAAAGCTTGATTTCTATATAAAACAAGTATACAGCCTTGTTGACAAAATGGCTTCAATAATTCCCTTTGGAACCTAATGCTTTATGTATTGTTCTCATCCTGTTTTACTAGGTTGTTAAAACTTTACAATTGAGGCAAGACTAACCACTTCTTTGGAATATTATTGGGTGAGGAATAATCCCCTTTGGCCTTTGCATTCTTTTCTCTGGTCTATACCATCTTTCTTCTCTGAAGTTTTAAATGAATATAGCTTTTTCCCTCACGATCATATACCATATCATTTTTGTCACCCACTTCCCAGGTAGAAAAGAAAACCTTTGATTAAGTCACAAGGCTATCGACACTTTTTGATTTATTGCAATGCGAAATGATTCAATGCATTTTTTGTCTCCACATTGCTGTTCCTTTTGCTATAAGGAAAGGAAGCTGGATCCCAAGAACACATAACCTTCTCTTGTTTCTTTGCTGCAGATTTTGGAAGCAGACACTCTCGTTTCCAATTGGTTGACCGTCCTTCCAAAGGATCCCGAAAGTATTCTTTGTCAAACTTTGTCAGGTCATCCTTCCACAACAGAGAAAAAAAGTCCTACAGATGTAGTTTTTTTCGAGAATTTTCAATGACAAGGAAAGATTGTTGATAGTTTTTTTTTTAATATATTAGCTTCCTAGCTTTATCATGCATACACCTTTCAATTCTTATAGCTTTTTTACATTATTGTCCAAGTGGAGATGTTTATTGTAACTCTCTTTGGATTGGAATCTCTCCCTTCTTATGTAAATTCCTGTTATTCCCTTCACACAACTGCCCCTAGATATCATTGGGAGTTGACTTCTTTCCACGCTTAATCCTCTCAAGCTGAACCTGAGTCCTCATAAAAATGTGCATATATTGCACCTCCAATTCCTTGGAAAATTGCATTCTTTGCTTCTCCAATTCCACCATTTTCAGCATCTTCTCGACCTCCACTCTTTCATACACCTCCCAAAACCTTTTAATTGCTCTTGTCAACCTACTCATCCCTTCCCCTAACGTCTTTCTTTGCTCACTGTCTCCTCTTCATCTTCCTCCATCAGTGCTATTGTTGCAGCTCTAGCTGCCATAGCAAAGTAATCCCTCGAAAAATAACCCTTGTCCATTGCCACCACAAGTTTTTTTTTTAGACATCGCAATGACAGCCCCAGTGGGGTGGGGTGGGGTGGGGTGGGGGGGGGGGGGGGGGGGGGGG